AATTTAGCCGTGCAACAGGTCACCTACGGACCCCTCAAATAGTTGTTGCAAGGGTTCTTAACGTGCAAAGAGCGTGGCTCTCTCTTTACACGAGGCATCGGATTTAACGTCCCCATTCTGACCGGACGTGGCTGCAAATGTGTACATCCCGCACAGCCAAACGGACGCCCCACTTTAGCAAGGGTTTTACTGCCGGTCGGAGGAAGACCAATGGTGACCATACTTCTAATCCCCAGTCACCCTTGGGGGTACAGTGAAATTGATGTGAACCAACTAAAACAATAGAAGAAACTGACATACCGATCCAGACACAGTATCCCCCCTCCCCAGTCCCTACTCCTGAGGTGCAGGGCATTAAAGTTTTCAATAAAGAGACTAAAACATCTTTTGAAGTTTAATCGGTTTTTGGCTTCCTATAATAATAATTTTGAGTTTTCCACAGTAAAACCTTCATGTACATGTGCAATTTACCAGTTTCACATTATTTGTTATTTTATAATTCAGAGGATGATGCAAAGACTCAAAGATAAATGACGATGGAGATATTGAGAAGTCCAAGTCAAGAAAATGAGTAAGTTCATTAAAATCTACTCACATCAAAACAGATAAAAAAAAAAGATTAGAGCATGGATTAGAATTTTTAGAATGGGACTTTTTCTATTAACTACAGAATTTCAACGGGACATTCTTTTGTAAATATTTCTGATTTTTATGGGACATTTTCAAGTATGAATGTGATAAATGGCGCATGGCTCCCTCTTATGCTATACATTGTTAAAGTATACTTTTAAATCCAAATCTAACACTGGTCTCAATATTCGATCACACTTCTTAGTTATATTAATCTTAAGATCTGTATACTTTTTGGTGATGATTCAAAATTTTATTTTTGAGTTATCGAGTATTTTGTTAAAAAGGGGGGGGGGGGTTTCACATGTCGCGCTGTATCTCAAAAACAGTTTATGATTATTGCTTAAAACTTTACACACTTCTTAGTTATATTAACCTTAAGATCTGTATACTTTTTGGTTTTGATTCAAAATTTTATTTTTGAGTTATTGAGTATTTTGTAAAAAAAGGGGGAGGGGTTTTTCTCATGTCGCGCCATATCTCAAAAATGATTTATGATTATTGCTTAAAATTTTACACACTTCTTAGTTATATTAATCTAAAGATCTGTATACTTTTTGGTTTTGATTCAAATTTTATTTTTGAGATATTGATTTTTTTTTTTAAAAGGGGTGTTTTCACATGTCGCGCCGTATCTCAAAAACGATTTATGATTATTGCTTAAAATTTTACACACTTCTTAGTTATATTAATCTAAAGATCTGTATACTTTTTGGTTTTGATTCAAAATTTTATTTTATAGATATTGAGTTTTTTGTAAAAAAAAAAGAGGGGGTTTTCGCATGTCACGCGGTATGTCAGAAACTATTTATGCTTATTGCATACAAATTTACACACAAGACGACGGGCGTATCATGCGCTCATGGCGCAGCTGTTTATTATATTTTCGAAATTGTATTTTAATATTCCAAGTTACAACAAGCAAGTACTTATAAACATGTAATAAAAAATAGGTTTGTTTCCCCTAACCCCTACCGATTCAGTTGACAAATAAACATGCATTGAAGCTTCATTACTTTTTATCACATGAATTGTAATTCATTAATCATGTTAATGTGGCACTTCGTTAGAACATTTACAGATGTTAGACAGATATGATTTTAGGTTTACAGTGACATCACTGCATAAACCAAATGTAAAATGAGTATTCAGGTTTTCAAAAGTAGTTTCTTGCATCAATGCATGAAGGGGAAGCTTCCATCATTTACACCAGAATTCTCTACCTCATGATTTTACCACAATAGAAGTGTGGCATTCATCACTCAATGAAGAAACGTATATATTTTTTCTACCCCCCCCCCCCCCCCCCCCCCCCAAGATAAATATAATCATATGCTTTACAATATTTGATTTCTTCGATCAATTAATGACACATCCATGGCTTCAAAGACATATCACATATATTTGTTTCTTTATATATATAAAGATTAAAGATTAAATCCGTATCTACATGTTTAATTCAGCAATCTAATCAACTAGTCATAACTGAACAATAAGAATTATTATTACTTTTTCAAAATCATTATTTCAAGATATACCAAAGATGGTGCTGCAATAGATACTTTTAACAAAACGATTTCATTTTGATTTTTGGTGTTTTAACGCCACTTTGAAGCACCGCTTTTGGGCTACTTCGTGGCGGCCAGTTTTTATTGGTGGAGGAACCGGAGTGCCCGGAGAAAACCACCGACCTTCGATAGGAAAACTGACAATCCTAGTCAATTAAGATTGGAGTCGAGTGCACCCGCACGAGCGGGGTTCGAACTCACAACCTCAGTGTTGACTGGCTAGTGATTACAGTAGTAACTACTTAAACCACTCGGCCACCGAGGCCCCTTAACAAAAACGAGAAAGAGGATATCAATCAGACAAACTTTATTGCACATTACAATCCTTCATTGACAATAACACAAAGATATGAGAACACATTACAATCCTTCATTGGCAATAACACAAATATATGAGAACACATTACAATCCTTCATTGGCAATAACACAAAGATATGAGAACACATTACAATCCTTCATTGGCAATAACACAAAGATATGAGAACACATTACAATCCTTCATTGGCAATAACACAAAGATATGAGAACACATTACAATCCTTCATTGGTAATAACACAAAGATATGAGAACACATTACAATCCTTCATTGGTAATAACACAAAGATATGAGAACACATTACAATCCTTCATTGGCAATTACACAAAGATATGAGAATTACAATATTTTTATGAACAAGTATAATAAACTGTAAATTTATTCATACAATCAATTTATACAACAATGCTGGTACTGATTATCCCCAAAAACATAAAGTCCCCATTATAAGTAGAAACCGCTAAATGCTCCCCTATTATTCATTCAATTCATTATCAATTTGCTTTATATTGTAGAACATTTTCAATATGTAAAGATTATTGTTGGTCATCTCGACCAGATTGATTTTCTCGCTTGAGCAATAATTCAGCCTTCACGCTTAACCTTTGAGTCGAAAAGTCAGACGCTCAATATTTTGAAAATTTAGTTTGATTCTGTTGGCTTGAAGGGAATAATTGTACAAGACAGAGGCAATTTTGCAAGCCAATGCCGTAGGACTTGTGGTTAAGCGTGTGAAGACTGTGACCCGGTACGTCGAAAGTGAGAAAAATCCAGATCACATGACCAATGATAAACTGTTTATTGCTATTTTACCTATGACGACGAATGGCATGTGCACCCTTAGTTTCTAGCAATAAATTTTAATATCACTCTACTGTGCTGAGTCAGTAAGATCAAAGGAAAATTTGGTAAATAGCCATAATAAAGATTCTCCAAATTTTATATAAATATTTATGGGATGGACTGACTGACTGACACACAGGTAAAACAGTATACCTCAACTTTTTCTAAAGCATTCATATAAAAATCATTCATTTTAAATATGAAATTTTTTCTAGTATCTGATGACCGATCCAAGTTACATTATGTACAAGTACATCTACCAAAGTCTACCTAAATTATTTTACTAAGAATTCCACTAAAAACGGTGATAGGGGTTGTCTTACAAAAATGTCTCAAAATTGCATTAAGGTTTAGAGTTTTTTTTATCATCCTTGCTTTATTTTCTCATGGAGACTAAAAGCATGTCATATATCAATAACATTTCATCTTCTGACTGCTGGACTCGCCTTAAAAAATTCTTAGAGAGAACCCTGAATTTATAAAATATACACAGAATGGAAACTTTCGTCTGCATCATAAATAATCATGACGGTCAAAGTGTCAACGTATATTTGTTCCGTCTAACAGGTGTTCCACAAAAACTTTGTTATAAACAATGTCATAATATCTGTCCGTGTTGGAACTAATATTCTACATCATTTATTCCGTTAGGAACATATACTGTGATATTCATTCCAATGGAATTAAACCATTGTTGTGACGTCATCTATTCAAGAAACAGTTGATTATTTTTCAAGAATCCACTGAAGTTTTGACCTATTTGTAATGTAACACTACTCACTATGGTTCATTGAATTGAAGAGATGAGTGAGTAGATTACATTACAAGCGAAGAAATGACTGATGTTTACCAATAAACAAATGTTGTTGACAATACAGAACACAGAAGAATTGTACGGAAGCGTATAAGCGCCACGAAATTTATTTTTTTATGTTTTTTTCTTATGTTTGCGTTAACGCAAACCTTTGTGGCGCTAATACGCTTCCGTAGAACTGATAACAAAAGCACCCAGAATTTGTTTGGTTGGAAACTCAATTGAATAAAATGCTTGTTTTCTGCTCTTTGGTCGGGTTGTTGTCTCTTTGACACATTTCCGTTCTAAATTTTATTGTGTGTAGTAAAAAATGTGATTGATAACATTTTAACGGTTCACGAGCAACATTCAATGAAGGCATAAGCACTCATACCACATATTCTTATTCATAAGACACTTTATGAAAAAGATCAGATATTTGTACATGTACATAAATTTATTTCACATGATAGTTGGTCCACGACTCAGTTGTGTCTTAAACAGCATTGAAATAAAAATCCTTCACACGTTACTTTGAATTCCCAAAGTTTACTTGAAGCGTTATGTTGATATTATTGCCATCCACTTGAAAGGTAGACGGTGCACTGTTTATTTGTAGTTCTGAACGGGGTTTCTTTTGTTCTGACGGCTTACTGTTGATCGTCTGGTTGGCCTTTCGTTTCATTTCGGTGTTTGTTCTTTTATATTCGCGAACTGCCTTACTTTTGTGGCCTGTTATTTCAGATATCAGCTGTTCGTCCTGACCATCTTCATATAACCTGGTAGCAGCAGTGGCACGAAGCGAGTGGTTCGACCTGAATCCCTTTAGTCCGGCTTCTTTGCATAACCCTGCAATTGTTGCTGTCAGCATATTTATACCCACGGGCATAGCAGCAAACCAAACTTGTCCAGTCGATTTTGGTATGGGTTTCAAGTAAAAGGCATTTTTTGGTCTTTTTTCTGGGCTGAAAAATACAAAACACTTTATAATATCTTTCAAGTATAATCCAAGGACTTACTAAACCTTCCCCTTTCTTGGTTTTTTATTTACTTTTATGTGCCTATCCCATCAGGAGCCTATAGATCAGTGGTGGTCGTTGGTTCATGTCTGTCATATTCTTTTCTAAAATTGTTTTGTAATAAATTAAGACTTTAGTTTTCTTAATTGAATTGTTTCTTTTTTTTCATGTTTGGGCCTTTAATAGCCAACTATACGGTATAGGATTTTCTCGTTCTTGAATGCTGTACGATTGTCTAATTGCTTACATCCACTTTATTTGAACTTTGGTGGATAATTGTCTCATTGGCATCATACCACATCTCCTTATTCTTATTATATAGGTCCCTGTGTTTTTTTCAAGCTACAAGTTGTGCAAAATTTATTCATGAAAAATTACTTGTTTTGAGAATAGAACATGTAGGAAGAAATCTAAAAGCTAGCATTTTAAGGTAAATTGTTGACAATAAAAAAAAGTACACTGGCAATTTAATCTTTGTCGCTAAAGGAAACCTACCAATGAGATATGTAGTCTCTATAAAATTTTACAATACATCTGTCAGGATTGTCTTTGTTCTCATAAGCAAAAACCACTTTTTGCTTGCACTTCCGCGATTTCAGTCCGCCTTGGTTTGACTTGGAAACATCCTCTCTGTATACAAGGTAGGAGTCACCATTTGTATCCGTGTGCTCTGATATTTGACTGTTTTCCCATCTTAGATCTCGATGCTCCTTTCCAGCACGAAGAGCAAAATTTAAACCAAATAAATAAATAGTCGTATCAAGGAGCTTTTGCGGAGTAGTATTTCCTAGAATTCCTTTCTCCCATAGCATGTTTTCTTCGTCGTAAGTAATTTCCTGTGCTTTTTTCTTGTGAGTTCCTAAACCAGATCTCGCTCGTTCTTTCATAGTGTGATCGAGTGTATTCTTTATTTGGATAAAACAATCTTCGTTTAGAAATTTGAAATATTTCCCCTTTCCCTCTAAATATAACTGTATGTTTATTAAAATTTCGTAAAGGGTTTGACCGGGATATTCTTCTCCGTTTTCTTTTTTGATCTCACAGATGAACCTAGAAAGAGCAAAACACAATTCATCCTTTGTCATCACTTCTAGATCTGGTGAAATAATACTTATATTAAGACTGAGATCAGCTACGGCTATGGCATTTCTTTGTGTTTTCCATGTGTTGAAAAGGTTATATGCCCACTTAATTTTCTTTTTAGTACTCTCAGCTAAACTGAAAATAAAATATTTTGATGGTGACATATTTATCTTATCAGATATTTTTATTATTATACATTTCATATTATACATTTTATATTCGAATTTCAATTTGAAGGGTGGTGCATTTCTTTTTTGTCGGGTATAATACTAGGTACATTTATAGTGATAATTATTATTCGAACACACCTACGATGTTCCAAAATTTTAAACAAGTGTATATTATGATACTATAACGTGGATTACATTGGTGAGTAAGATTTTTCATATTAAACGATTAATCGTTTAAATATAATAATCATCATATTTTATTTCAAAAGTTTATTCGAACGATCTATCGAAAAAAAAAATATGACTAAACTTAAGCAGTTAAGAGCTCATGTTCCTTGTTATTATGTAAATATGCAACCCGAATTTAAACAAGATTACTTTTACTTTACTTTACTTTACTTGCTTTGACTTATTGACCAGGGCTGATATGCATAAAACTACTTAAGTTTAGATTTATCCCGAACGACACGGATTTTTTTGACATGTCATAAGATAAATTATTACTACGATTGGATATGTTAACTTGAGTGGTTTTATACATATCAGCCCAAAACTTTTAAAATCACAGACCTAGATTTTAATGTTTACAACGGATGCCTAATGAACTTCAAAAAGGGGGTATGTTTTTTTTTCTAAAAAAAAAATATTCTGGTCCCCAATTTGATGAAAAAAATACTTTGGTCTAGCAGATGGAAAAGAAAATATTCTGAATCTAGATTTCCCCAATACCTTATGGTGTAATATTTAAAAAAAAAAAAACACCAATTTGATTGATACCGTCGAAAATCTAGAAAAACTGTTAACACAGAGATATGTCTCGCCTATTTGTTATTTTGATAATAGATATGTTGAAATTAAAATAGCAATACTTTAACATGTAAGTTATGCAAATATTTAAAGTCAATGAACCATGACTGAAGGTACAGGGCTAAACAATATCCATGGAAATCAGATGTGCCAATGCTAATACAACTGCATACCAAATACCATTGACTTTTCATGTGTCGTTCTCTTTACACAAACCTAAACACAAACATAAACTTGTAAACTATGCAAAAGTTTCAAAGTCAATAAACCATAATGATGGGGTGGGGTTATATAATCTCAGTGGAAATGAAACTTGCAAATACCTATACCCTTGCATACCAAATATCATTGACTTAATATTAATGGTTCATCTTAAACTGACCTAATCACAAACTAATACATGTAAACTAAGCAAAAGTTTCAAAGTCAATAGACCGTGACTGAGGGGTAAGGACCATATATACTCCATGGAAATGAGATCTGCTAATGATTATACAACTGCATACCAATTATCATTGACCTACCACTAACAGTTCCCCTTAAACTGATCTAATCAAACTAATACATGAAAACTAAGCAAAAATTTAAAAGTCAATAGACCATGACAGAGGGGGCGTGGCCAAATAATCTCCATGGAAATGAGATAATCCAATGCTTATATAACTGCATACCAAATATCATTGACCTACCACTAGTGGTTAACCAGAAACTGACCTAATCACAAACTAATACATGAAAACTAAGCAAAAATGTCAAAGTCAATAGACGATGACAGAGGGGGTGTGGCCAAATAATCTTCATGGAAATGAGATATGCCAATGCTTATACAACTGCATATCAAATATCATTGACCTACCACTAGTGGTTCCGCAGAAACTGACCTAATCACAAACTAATACATGTAAAATAAGCAAAGTTTCAAAGTCAATAAACCATGACTGAGGGGGCGGGGCCAAATAATCTCCATGGTAATGAGATGTGCCAATGCTTATACAACTGCATACCAAATATCATTGACATACCACTAGTGGTTCACCATAAACTAGACCTAATCACAAACTGATACATTGTTGACGCCGCCGCCGACGCCGGAAACAGCATACCTATGTCTCGCTTTTTGACTCCGTCAAGGCGAGGCAATAAAAATGTTCTGACTCAGTAATTTCATATACAGTTTAAGGAGCCAAAGGTGTTTACAAAATTTTGAGAAAATCTGACAAATTTGTAGCTTTTGAATCATATCACATCTCCATCTTTTATATCTATTTTTTTTTAATTAATAAGAACTTTCTCGTTTTCGAATTTTTAAGCTATTTGATTCGACCCGTGGCTTGCTAATATTATTGTTTAAAAATTGACATGTAGAATATGGAAAGGGTCGGATTTCATGTCGGACCCTTTTATAATCAACTATACGGTATAGGTTCTTCTCATTGTTAAAGGTCTAACAGTTACCCATAATTTCCTTACATTCACTTCATTACATTTCTGGAAGATAGTTGTCTCATTGGCAATCATACCACATTTCCTTATTTTTTATACGGAACGGTGTTAGAATAACAAGTTGAATAGGGTAAATCTTTTTTCGTGTTAAATACAATCATGCATTTCCTTTTGGGCTCGGTTAATGTTACCAATACATTAATCTTGGTTAGAAGTAGTAAAGAATTTATAAGAAGTAGTGGATTCGGAAACCATAATCGAACAATCAAAATCTAATGTTTTGTTTTTTTAGTTATTTGTGGTACTTTGTTAAGTTTTTCCCATAATATCTTTTTATATTTCTTTGTAATTGTTAAGTTAAAAGAAGAAAAAATACAGGTTTAAAATTCAGTTTTAAACGGACTTTGTTTTAGCAAACTTATCAACCTGAAATTTTCATAACAGTCATGCAACTGGAAACTTATCGAGTGAGTTCTTTCTGTAACTTTTTTTCATCCATTTTCCTTTATTTGTAGACATAAGTATCTTGATAATTTCCCCCCAAAAATGAATGCCAAACATATTTATTTCACTTACTCTGGACTCGTTTTCTCAAAAAATTCAATCCTAATCAGGTTTAGTACTGAACGGGGTCTATCAAGCGTAATCTTGTAATTTTTTGTATAAAGGCAAAAAAAAGGGGGGGGTGGTATTTAAAAATAATGTATATAGCACAATAATATTTCGAATAAATATAATACTGACCTCCTAACAGAAAGATCCTCTATTTTGTTGTCGGACACAATCTTGCTTAACCTTGATGGTCCTGGCTTACTGCGTAAGTCAGAGTCTACACGATCTACTAAAGTACACATTAATTCTTCATCTGACGCAGACGATATATCTTCATAAATCGGCTTTTTGGGAAGAGTAGCTTCATTTTCAGAAGCAGATGATATATCCTCATACATAAGAAGAAAATTTCCACTTATATCCTTATCACTTTTCGTAGAATTATCACAAAACTTTGACTGAGTTATAAATATATCCTCATCGTCCGATTCCATTGTCATACAATTTTTGATGAGCTGTTTTTACTCAAACTTATACATTTATACATTTTCTTTTAAGATTGATTGATTGATTGTTGGTTGCTTTACGCCGCATTAGCACAACAAGGCTATATCGCGGCGAGAGCTAATTCGAATATTTTTTACAATTTAAAGCATATTCTTAAAATCAGACAAAAGGTCCTTCAATAAACTAAAATTCTAGATTAAAGCAAATTGATTATTTACAAATAAAAATGAACATTAAGATAACGTGATAAAATTTAAAATCGTTTTAAATATAATAACATTTTTATATTTTAGAATATATTCCAACTTCTTTTAAAAATGAAACAATATTTGTAAATGAAACATTATTAAATAAATCATACATATTATTGACATTGAAATGCTTCTTACGAATATCAGCAAAGTCAATACAATTGATTAAAACATGTTTAATAGTATACTTGCAGTTACAAGGTATACATTGTGGTTCTACTTCATTTTTTAAAAGATATTCGTGTGTTATTCTAGTATGACCAATACGACATCTAGAAATAACACACTGATCTTTTCTGCACATAAAATTATTGAAAGGTTTACATAAATTAGGTTTAATTTCATGTAATTTATTACCATCTTTTTTACTCCATTCATTTTTCAATATATTAAAAACATATTCTCTAATATTAGATTTAAAATCGGTATATGGTATATCACAGTTAGATAAAGGGTCACCCAGGGCATTCTTTGCCTCAAGATCTACAGCTGTGTTTCCAAGGATTCCAACATGACTCGGCACCCATAGAAATAATATTTCTTTAAGAAGAATTTTTAAATTCCTCATTACATATAAAATTTTGAGAATTGTTGGGTTTTTAATTTTAGTATTTTGTATAGCTTGTAAGCATGAAAGTGAATCAGAACATATAATAAATTTGGATTTATCTGAAGAAGCAACAAATTTCAAAGCCAAAATTATTGCTTCTGCTTCAGCAGTAAAGATCGATGCATCAGATGGCAAACGGAGAGTTGCAGCTCTGTCCCTGAAGACAGCAGCAGATGCAACTCTGTCACCATCTTTTGATCCATCAGTATAGACAGTTGAAAAATCTGAATAATTGGCTTTGATTTCAGCATAGTGTTGCTGAATTAAAAGAGGATTTGTTTTATTTTTATTGTGTTCACGGAGATCAAATATCATTTTTGGTTTGGGAAGTTCCCATGGAGGACATTTGCAAGTTTCAACTTGAGCAACAGATTTTAAATCAAAAGAAGCTAGATGTGGTTTTAAACGTATACCTAACGGAGGAATTTTATTTTCATGTTTTGCAAAAATATCTTCATAAATTGGATTAAAAACACAGCTGTAGGCAGGATTATCTGAGTAGGCTTTTAGTTTGACAGCATATTGAAGTGCAAGCTTCAAACGTCTGTTAGAGAGTGAGTGCTCATCAGCCTCTACATACAGACTCTCAACTGGTGAGGTTTTAAATGCGCCAAGACAGAGACGCAAACCCTGATGATGCACAGCATCGAGAATCTGTATGTAGGACTTCCTTGCAGAGCCATACACTATAGAGCCATAATCTAGTTTAGATCTAACTAGAGATCTATATAAATTAAGTAAAATGTTGCGATCAGCACCCCAGTCGGTGCTGCCGACAACTTTTAAAATATCTAGTGCTTTTAAACATTTCGATTTTAACATTTTGATATGGGGTAGAAAGGTTAACTTTTTATCGAAAATTAACCCAAGAAATTTGGTTTCATCAACCATTTTAATTGGGTTGCCGTACAAAGTGAGTTCTGGATCAAGATGCAATTTCCTTTTGTTACAAAAATGCATCCCGACCGTTTTTGAAGTGGAAAATTTAAACCCATTTTCCGAGGCCCATTTTTCAATTCTTCCAAGACATAACTGTAATTGTCT